TTTTGATTATAATAATAATAATAATAATAATCCCACCGAGGCAGGGTGACCCAAAGAGAAAGAAAATTCCCAGAAAGAAAATACTTTCATCATCATTCAACACTTTCACCTCACTCACACATAATCACTGTTTTTGCAGAGGTGCCCAGGATACAACAGTTTAGAAGTATATACGTATAAAAATACACAATATCTCTCTCCAAACTGCCAGTATCCCAAACCCCTCCTTTAGAGTGCAGGCATTGTACTTCTCATTTCCAGGACTCAAGTCCGGTTATATAAAATAACCGGTTTCCCTGAATCCCTTCACTAAATATTACCCTGCTCACACTCCAACAGATCGTCAGGTCCCAAATGCCATTTGTCTCCATTCAGTCCTATCTAACATGCTCACACACGCTTGCTGGAAGTTCAAACCCCTCGCCCACAACACCTTTACCCCCTCCCTCCAACCTTTTCGAGGACGACCCCTACCCCGCCTTCCTTCCCCTACAGATTTATACGCTCTCCATGTCATTCTACTTTGATCCATTCTCTCTAAATGACCATACCACCTCAACAAACCCTCTTCAGCCCTCTGGCTAATACTTTTATTAACTCCACACCTTCTCCTAATTTCCACACTCCAAATTTTCTGCATAATATTTACACCACACATTGCCCTTAAACAGGACATCTCCACTGCCTCCAACCTCCTCCTCGCTGCAGCATTTACAACCCAAGCTTCACACCCATATAAGAGTGTTGGTACTACTATACTTTCATACATTCCTTTCTTTGCCTCCATAGATAACATTTTTTGCCTCCACATATACCTCAATGCACCAGTGTTTATAAATTTTTTTATTCCCTCTAGCAGGTCTTTTATATAAATTGGAAACATAATTAGTGCATGTTGTGATCCTTGTGACACCTCGTTAGTAACATTACCCCATGAGGACATTGTGCTTTGTATCACTGTGTTGTCACATCAAATGGGAAATTTCTCATCCACTGTTATAGTTTGTTATTACTCCAGTGTTCTGCAGTTTTCAGTCTCCTATGAGGAACTATTGAAAGCTTTCTTCAAATTTAAATGAGTGTAAATTCCTCAGTATTTTAGTCTTCATTTATTTCTTTGACTGTCATTGTAGTTAATTACTGTAGATATATATTGCATGTTAGTAGTTTTTACTCTGAATGTTTTACCTATTTTTGTCTAAGGGCTTATTCCATTAATTTCACAAAAGTACTTATCAGTGAGATCCTTCCTGTTGCCTTTTTTTAAATACGTGTAGCAGCACATTGTCTGCCATTTTGTATTTTCTCTCAAGCAGTATGTGTGTGTGTTTTTTTTTTGTGTGTGTGTGTGCATGTGTTTTTTGTTTTGTATAGAGAGAGAGAGAGAGAGAGAGTGAGAGAGTGAGTGAGTGAGTTGAATTACCATCAAGAAGTGAAGCCATACTAAATACAGATCAAATTGATAACAAAAAAAGAGTACAATATATCAAATTAAAATTTTAGAGAGTACAGGTCAAAAAGAACACTTGTCTGGACAAATTCACACAGTGAGACAAGTACAAATAAGACTGAGCCACATACTATTAACATGGTTATTTTAAGCATACCTGTAGCAACGTTGTAGACAGTTATCAAATGAAGCTAAAATGCTAACAAAATTTCCTTAACTTGTAATACAAATTATAAACGAATGGAGAATATTGAAAGAGATACATTATAGTACGCAAAACTGTGCATTAGAAATGAAGATCAAAATGGCAGTAGAGAAGATACAATTATTAGTAGATTTAGTCTGGTGCAGAGAATAAGTAATTAATGCAGGTGTTCAAAAACCTTACTTGAGAAATCCATTTTTTTTATCAAGATGAACGAGAGAAACTTGGAAGGTGTACATATTCTGTTTGCTTATTTTTTAATTATACGTTACTAAAAGAGAATTGTGCAAATACATGGTATGAATTAATTATCACTATGAAACACTGAATGTAACAACAAGTAAAAAAAGTTGGATTTTTTTTTTTTTTTTTTTTTTTTGAGAAATAAACTTCTAAAGGAAGAAACATTTATTTAAATCTAAGGGTGAACTTAGGAAATGATCAAAGCACAGTGCTTTACACTGACTCAGGTGTTTAGAAATTCCTGATTCAGGTGTTTAGAAATTCCTGACTCAGTTATGTAGAAATTCCCAACTCAGGTGTCTAGAAATTCCTGACTCAAATGTTTAGAAATTCCTGGCTCGGGTGTTTAGAAATTCCTGATTTATGTGCTTAGAAATTCCTGATTCTTGTGCTTAGAAATTCCTGATTCAGGTGTTTAGAAATTCCTGACCCAGGCATTTAGAAATTCCTGATTCACATGCTGAGAAATTCTGCTATAAAATGTGTGAGTACAAATTTTGAGAAAATGCCAGTGAAAATAGTAACAACAGAAATACCGAGCATTTTCATGCATTTACACACATCTTTGAAGGAAGTTGTGAGTTTGACTTCACAAAAATGCTCACGTGTGTTTTTGTTTGGTAAATATTTTCACTAGCGCTTCCAAATGTACTGCCTAAGAGACTACACTGAAAGTTAATATGAAGTAAACTAACTAGGGTGAATATACAGTAACTCATGAATAAGGTGATAAAGAAAGTCCCTTAATAAGGGTAAAGGGAATTCAAGGAAAGCGGTAGTGAGAACAATGGAGCCTCACAAGGACATAACAAAAAGAGGATCAAGCAATTAAATTTAATGTTAAATCAGCTATTATGTAGCAAACAAACTTTTAATAATTTTGCTCATAAATCTAAGCATCTCTTTAAATTTCTCTGAGATTAGACTTTTTCAAAGCAGAGAAACAACATAATTGGCAGATTGAAAATGATTCCATTGCAATCCTCTTCAGGTACACAAGTAGATGCATCCAGTGCCTCAGTCAGCAGGTTATAGGCAGCCACCAACATTAATCCACAAAAGTCAAATTAGACAAATTCAGCAGTAGAAGATGAATGAACCCACCCACTAAGCTAAGAGACCATCACTGGTGTTCATAGACACACAACAGTGCACACAGATTTCTGGAAATACACGCAAAATGCTAACCCTAGGATTTTATTGGAAATGTTTGTGTCTTTGGATGAGAGGGAGCAAGGAGTGACCAGAGTTCCAGGGCTGAAACTCTCCAGTAAAATATCCTGGTGTTAGCATTTTCTCTTTTCCAATTATTGGTATCATGTACCATTTTTACCACATGACTTGTTATTAATTGCAGTTGAAGCAAAAGTTTTTTAGTAAAAGTTGAAAGATGTTGAGGGAGACTTGATGCAGAGTGGACCTTGATTATGGACAGCGATTTGTTCTGGGTAGAGCATCATCTTTAATAAAGATTTGCTCTGGGTAGAGCATCATCTATAATAAAGATTTGCTCTGGGTAGAGCATCATCTATAATAAAGATTTGCTCTGAGTAGAGTATTATTTATAATAAAGATTTGCTGTGCATCACGTCTCTCTGCTGTACACATCAGCAATATCCGTCATCCAACACAAGAGTTCATGAAGGAAATATGACAGTTTTATAAGGGGGAGAGCAAACTCAAAGAGGCTCTTTGAGTTTAATAATTACGAAGAGAAGTAATAGTTTAAGGATAATTCTGTCTTCAAAGAGGGATGCCTTGGTGCTGGTGAAGGGACAATGATAAAAGAAACTTACATTCTCCTTCCCTTCCTCAGATCGAGCCTGATTACCTCCTGTTTCCAGGTATTGTATGACCCCTATGCTTCCCCAAATATGTAAATATAACAAAAATAATTATATCACCAAGCCATCATCCAGAACAGAGAAGAGGAAACATATCTTAGAAAGAAGTTATCAACAAATGGAACAGTCTACCTGCTGGGAACCAAGCTTTAGCATATGTCTAAAACAAAGAGTTTAAAGAATCCTACACAAGATGTAGCGTATGTCTAAAACATGGCCATGAAGTGACCTTCAGTGTTTTGTTTTTTCTAAAAATATATTACTGAATGAATTTAATTCACAGACTGAAACAATGCAGTCACTAGTCTTAGAGAAATGTGAACAAGCTTAAAAAAAACAGCTATAAAAAAATATATGCCAAATCCATATTAAGCTGAGGATTACAGGCTCCTCAAGGCTCCTTGCTGTAGGTGAGGAGCTCTTGATCAAAGGAACTGCAACTTCCATAATTTAGCTCCTCTCAACTCAAACTTGTATAAGCCTCAGTTTCCTTTCATTCATAACATTAACACTTAGCTCTTTCTTTCAGTACTACATAAGTGCACAGTCAGTCAGCTCAAGTTCAGAATTACATTCTTCTTTTTTTTTCGTAATGGCATACAGAAAGGAGTAGTATTAGCCCACTGCTCTCGACATTTTTGCCACCTTGGACACGTATAACAGTGGGAAAGAATTCTAGCATACTTCCTCTGAAGAAGACTGGATAGGAGCCACTACAGGAATAATATACGTATATTAAGAAACAAAGGAAAGCAAAGATATGAAAATACAGTTCACATCCAGTGAGAGGCTTCAGCTGCATATACAGTATTTACCATATTTATTTTGTAGAGGAATATGAATGGTCTCAAGTTAGAAAATACTAACAAATATACATTCACAATATATTTTAGAGAGAGCAGAAAAATATCAATTCACCGAAAAAAGTACACAGTATAAAATACACTGAAATATCGAAAGAAACAAACATGATTTCCACTTACGATTTATATTAGAGCAAACATGACAAAAAAATCCTGAGAAGGAACAATGACAAACAAAAGCTAGCACAAAACAAAATACGAAGGCGAAGCTGCCACAAAACTACACATATGCGAGCAACAAGAGACGACGAAGGCCACAAAGAAGTGTCACCGGGACCATAAGAAAGAGACGCCAAAAATCACAAAAGATGTAGACACCAAGACCACAGAGTGTATCCATCAGTACGACAGAGACAAACGGAGAAGGCACAGCTGTTGGGACACCCTTTCTTGACCTGAGGACTGAGGCAGAGAGGCGGGGAGGGGTTGTGTCGTCGGGAGGAGTACAGGGACCCTCCACACGTAGGTCCCCCACTTACCAAGGTGCGCGACAGCTGTGGGAGGAAAACACACAGGTAATTAGTAAACAGGTAATGGTGAATCTAACTTCCTCTTACATGAAGGTAAAGGATGTCTGAATTCTTTTCATTTTTAATGTCCCTTAACAAGGAAACAGACATCAGAAACTATTTTCACACATCCTTCCATTTTGAGATAGAGGCAGTTAGAAATTCTTAGGTACTGTATTCAAAAATCTGTATCAAGAGATATGATATAGAGAGGTTTAAATATCTTTCCTATCAAAACATGAGAAATTAGAGCTGTTTAAAAGTTTCTAAATGTCTTACCAATCAGTGTAGACTTTAGAAGGTATGTGGATTTAAAAACTGACTTTCCATGTCAATCTTTCTATATGCAGATTTTCTTACATAGTCATTGGCATTCAAATACCTTCATCAAGGAGTGTTATGAACTCATTAAGTCATAATAAACGACTGTCAGTGAATAAACAGAAGGTGGTAGAGCGATGAACCCATCAATTTTGGGACCAAGGTTCTAGCGTCTCATCTCTCCTTCTGTTTATTCAAGGAGTGTAATGTTAAAAATGCTTTTGTTATTATCAGCATTATCAAGGCAAATGAAGGGAGGATAATGTTTTGGTCATAACTCTGTTGTGAATGTCAGTTCAAGAATATATAAGAGTTTTGTGAAATGTAAATTAATATAGTTAGATTAAGTACTGTACAGTACTTGAAAGAGGCAGTAATAGTTTAAGTGTAAGGAACCAAATAATGTTAGAATATGGACTTGGCAATTTAATATTAAGATGGTAAAAGTCCTGCTAGTCACAAGTCCAGTACAATATAAAGGAAAATTATAAATTCATTAAACAAGGACAAAAGTATGGTACTTGTATATAGAGGAATCATTGTTATAATACAGGCAGGCCCTGCTTTACAATGTTTTGCTAATACAGTGGCTTACAGTTATACCCATTCTTCATTTATTCAGACTTCCTGTAATATATATATTCACATCTCTCTATAAGCTAAGAATGAAAATATTTTAAAGTAGGTAATGTGTGTACTGTATATGCATTTTTTAGGCTTAGCTCTATTGCTCACTTAATACGTATATGATAGTGTAAACATGTTATCAGGCTATTATATGCATTTGAAAGTGAAAAAAAAGGCTATCTATCACTTTAGAGGGATTTTTTTTTTTACAGCAGTAGCCCTTAACCTAACCTGCTGTATAAGCAGGGCCCTCCTGTACACTGTATATGCTGTACTGTTTTGTATGCAGCTAAGTCTTGGTATTCATAATTTTGATATTCGTGGTATTTATGAATGTGCCAGGGATAATCTAGGCAAGCATCTTTCTCAGGTCTTGTCCACTGCAAGGTAGCTGCTAAGCACAAATCAAAAGTTATTTTATTTAATTTAATGTACATTTTTAATATTTTACAGACAAATGAGCAAAATGGCTGGTAAAAGGCATAGCAATTCAGAGGACAGGCAGGCTAAATGAGGGACAAGATGACTGGCAAGTGAAAGGTGAGAAAGTGAACAAGTCTTGTATTTCTGGTTAAGAGTTGTAAAGAAAGAGCATCAAAATAAGATTGCAAGGCATCACCCCACCATGAAATTCTCCCTCTCTTCACCATTAAGTACTTCCCTGTCATCAGTTACTCATTTCACCATCATCTAATATATGTACTTGCTTATCTCACCATCAGATACTGTGCTCCCCTCACTTCATCAAATGCTCCTTCATTGTATCAAAATCTCCTTACTTTACCATCGAATGCTCCTTCATTTCATCAAATTCTCCTTCACTTCACAATTAAATGCTCCTTCATTTCATCAAATTCTCCTTCACTTCACAATTAAATGATCCTTCATTTCATCAAATATTCCCTTACCTCACCATCAGATGCTCCCTGACATACACAGTACGTACTTTGCGAATGTACATACACACACACACACGCACGCACACACACATGCACACACACACACATGCACACACGCGCACACACATGCACGCACGCACGCACGCACGCACGCACGCACGCACGCACGTGTGCTGCCGCGCACACACACACACACACACACACACACACACACACACACACACACACACACACCATGCTGAAATTTATCCTGGACTATATATTTTTAATAAAAAAAATATGCAGTAGCAAAAAATATTACATATGCTAATACATTTTTATAAACCATTTCAACATTAGGTATACATATTTCTATAGCTAGAATTTGGCACCTTAATACAGTTGTAAACACATTACCATCACTGCCTCTTCATTTTCTCAGCACTGTACAATACACTGTCATGTTAGTCGACAAACTGACCAAAGTCAACAGTGAGAAAGTCATGTGATGGACGGACACAAGTATGGACAGACACACAAATAGACAACACAAAGATATAATCAGAATTGATCAATACAGAATGCAGGGTTTGACACCCATAGGGTTTAGCACATGCCTGAGAGGGTGGGAGTATGACATGTTGCTAGTACAATACCGTACACTCATGGACAAATGTTCTGTTATATGCCGAGTCTACCAAATGTTGGACCAAGACTCGGAATTGCCAAGACCTGTTTAAAGCTGTATTCAGTTTTGAACAGGTATGAAACAGGACTTTTGACCTTGACTGTACCTAAGATCAGCTCAAACCAGAGTTAGAGTTAACTTTGGAAAGGGCAAAGTTGAATTTACAAATACTGAATATGGAAGAAAATCAGGAAAACTCAAGTGCTGTTTTTGCCAACGTTAAACTGTCAACTTTTTCCACTGTCGTAGCATAGAAGCCAAATTCAAAACATAATCAGCAGTCTACTTTCAGTGGAAAAATATGTTGAAGTTTGTTGCAGATTAAAATTTACCTTTATATTATAGTCAAAATATACATGTCATTAAAAATTCAATATAAATATAAAAGAGCTTGTTGTTCAACATTGAGAATCAGAGATCCTAAGAAGCAGTTCTTCATACCACTGGCTTATAACCCTATGCATTTTTATTGGTAAAGCTCACTCATATTTCTGCTAAATTTCACGTCAATAATTAGTCCTGTTACTGAGAAAAAAGGGATTAAAAAAATACTATATGCTAGTTATAATGCTAGTATGCTAGTGAGAGACTTGTAAGATATTTGTAGTCCAGACCAGGCAGCTTGCTCTGAGCTCTGGCAGACTCATCGGCCAACCAATAATCCAATGGGGATGCTAATGGCCTCTTTCTGAGTAAAATATGGAAAGAGTACTAGTCATCAGTGGGTATGGCCTAGTGATTTTAAGAGAATTTATAAAAGAAAATTCAGTAATTTAGTCTAACAATTCACTTCTAGTCTTATGGACTGCATACCACATCAAATCTTGTATGGTGTAGCAATATACTTTCGTTAACCAAAATGTCAACAAGGTTAATTCTTGTTGAACCAGTACTGTATGCAATACATTTCAACTGACTTATTGCTATCAAGAATAAATTTATTTGCATCACAAAACTGTCCTTGGACTCTAGAGCTGGTTTGTGTGCAAGGAACATAGCATGCAGGAGCAGGCTGGCAGAAAGGGAAGTGCATATTACCCAACCCAGAATACAAATGCACAAGAAAACTTCAGGCATACATTTGGTCTTATTTTGTATAGCAAGTATAGAACTTTAAAATATGCATATCTTCTGTAAAAAAAATATGTAAGTAGCTAGAAAGGTTAATTAGAAAATACAGCATTCATTGCTATAAGGTTATGCTTTTGGGAACGATGGTTAGAGACTAGGCAGAGATAAACAGGAGGAGGCTTGAACCTTCAACACTCCTTGTCCTGAATAATCCATAGATTTACTTTCACATAAATAATAACACTCTGCACTCTGAAGGAGGGGTGTTAATGTTGCAGGTTTATAACTGTATTGTAAGCGTGTGTCTGGCAAGACAGTGGTAGAGTGAATGATGGTCAAAGTTTTTCTTTTTTGGGCCACCCTGCCTTGGTGGGAAATGGCTGATGTGTTAAAAAAAAATAACTCTGAGCATAAGATGCACTCATTTATCCAAATGGTTATATATCATTGATTTGATGTCTAATTTAAAGATGAAGATTGAGTAGGTTCAGGGCAATCATAAGATTCTAGCAGCATAACATTCTAGCAATGGTTACTGATCTGGATCAGCTATTCATAGAAGGCAAAGTAATGATTTAAGCAAAAAAAAAGTGCCATTTAATGCAATGGTAACCTTGGTAAATTCATTGTTTTGTTTATTATATTATGCAGTTGTGATTAAAATTTGCTACATAAAATAACAATACAAAGAGCAAATTAACTTATTAGCAAATCACTTATATAATTTAACATTTGCTTTCATAATGGCTTTTAAAAAGTTGTCAGTTAATTTATTAATAAAAAGGCATTATTTACTTAATAAACTACTGTACAAACATATATATAGATAGTGGTAAATTATGAAATATGTGCATGTAAATTTGTCATAGTGCAAAACTACAATAGATTTCATATTTTCTAAGCATTGTTCTGCTTTAACTAAGTTCACTCTTGTATATAACAGCAGAATTTCTTAGCATTTCAGAGAAATTCTGAGAGTACTGATAAGTTATATAAATCTTTATTACAGTAGGTAACTGACTGATTTTAATCTTTGAATAGTAATAACATGATTCCTTGACTGATTTTTTTCCTAGAAAATTCTCTTTTGAGTTGATTAAATGCGTATTTTATTTAGAGAGATTCACATTTTTCCACAAGGGAACCATAAGAAATTAAGAGTAATTTAGGATAGTCGGGCTAGAGAAACATGAACTCTGGCAAAATATTAGGTTACAAATTTGGTCATGAGGTAAATTATTCCGAGTCCCCTCTCACAGGTACATAAGTCATGACATCAGACATTAGTTGAAAAAACTGGGGCATAGAAGTAACTCAAGAGATTAATGCTGTAAATTATTTCAAAATTGGTGATCAGATATGTTTCCTTCAGAGGAGACTTCTCTTGTAGAATGGTATGG